GCAATTACAAATAATAATTTAGCAAGGTTTCGAAGAAATTCTATTCCCAAAAGGTCTAATAGTCATCAAACTACAAAAATCTGTATTGTGTACTCTACGAACAGTCCAATCATAGAAATGGAAATAATCTAACTGGTGTACACGTGACTTGAGAAGGCAAAGCATATACAAGTGACTCTATGAATACACAAAGAAAATTGAGAATGAGAAACCATGTCTATTTTTTTTGTCCTAAAATTTCTAGAAATTGGAAATATGTTGACAATTCAGTTTATCGCACGCCACACTAAAGTTATATAGCTCTATCTATTATGCATATTTGAATATTATTTGCATAATTAACAAGACGTGACAATTAAATATTTATCTATTCGAGTTTATCTTTGCATATCTTTTACGCGGCATTTACATAATGATTTCGACGGGTTTACGACTATAAACAAATCATTGTCAATTTCACAAAGTCTTCATCATGATGCTAATTTACTGCCTGTCAAACTAAAATGTTATATTCATGAGTACAATTGCGATAAACTGAAATAAACGTGTCGAAACTTGTATTTACTCATTTGAATAGTTCACATCACTATTAAATTTTTACATTCGTCTGTTTATTTTTATATTATATATATAAAATTTATAATATTTATATTGTATTTTATTATATTGGATATTGTGATCACCAAAATGGTTTTAGTGTGTAGTTAGTTGTATATGCGATGTTTTTTCATAATGTACAAATACTTCACCATGTAGATCGTCTTTCATCCGGGTTATTTGGCATATCACTTATGACATCGACAAAACCTCAGATAACATTGTCACACTGGTGAACTCTGACCCCATACAAAACACTCACAATTGAAATCAGATGCAAATTGAGATTAAACATGAAGTGCCATTACAGTTGTTATGCAAATTAGGGATGTGAAATTCAGTATTTGTGGCGATGTACAGTGTGAATATCACATCGACGGTGATTTAATAAATATTAGCTCAATTCGCGAGTAAGTAGTACCTTCATTTAGTGAGTATACACATTTTGCTAAATAAGCTTGAATAAACGAATGTGCAGATTTTTGAATGGTAGACAGAAACGACATGAATGTATTATATATAAAAAGATCACAGAATGAAGTCTGAAATGATGACATTGATAGTTCAAATTCCAAGAAAACACATCTTATATTATTTTAACACCAGATGAAGACATATCTACCGAATGTAGTATTACCAGACGATGACATATCTACCAGATGTAGTATAGATGAGATCTTAAATCATAAAAACTCTTCTTTCAGCATGACCTTGTTCAGAAACGCAGCATAGCTAAATACACGATCTTCAGAAGCGGGGTCGTGACCCGCTACAATACTAGTAAACAGAATTGCCTGACGGAAACTGAACCAACGCGACATTTGTAGCTACAATACTAGTAAACAGAATTGCCTGACGGAAACTGAACCAACGCGACATTTGTAGCTACAATACTAGTAAACAGAATTGCCTGACGGAAACCAACGCGACTTTTGTAGCTACAAATTCACTATGATGCTTCTCGTTCAGGTAAAACTAAAATGATGCGGTTTTAGATCTGTATTTTAGCATCAGAAGAAGATAAATTTTTACCCTTTAAATTTTATTAAATAAGGCTTTTGAAAACAGAAAATGAAATTTGTTTCATTCTGTTGTGTGTGACCCACTTCAGTTCACTGGTGCGTGAAATCGATCTATTTGAACATAATTTTGACGCCATAAAAATACTTTGTCGCTAGAGGGCGCACCCTTGAAAATGCCCCTTTTTACAACATACGTATGTTTTTGTTTGCAGGTGAGGCTGTGCAAACTTTCGATATTACTCCCCAGAGCGAAATCACAGGCTATGTCACAGGTGCTGTTATATTACAGTGTGCATCTAGCGACAGAACAGGAACGGTGTTGTGGATACGGGATGGTCAAGTGGTTAGCCAAAACACCCTGGTAACATGGAATCCGAACAGGTAAATATTGTGTGTTAAAATCGTCTTGTTCCGATCGCATTAAGTAAAGACCGTCCACGCCTCAATTTAGCTGCATTTTGTTTTTGTTATCAATTTCAATACAAGTCAAGAAGTAGGTATCAGATAACTTGTCGTCTGGAGTAGAGTGAGGCGATCATAACACCAAATACAAAGTGCGCGTACATAGGTACAACACTGATCGTTACATCTGACATAAATTTTACTCTCATGTAGTCGATTTATTCAGTTTCATTATTTTTATCATTTCACTTATGGTAGATTCCATGAACGGATTTGCTTTTTTTTTTCATTTTCGTAATTATTATAACTATGATTTTTTGCATAGGTGCTTTATTTCTGGAGATCAAAGCCAGGGAGAGTTTTTCCTTACGATTACTGACCTAGTGGAATCAGATGCAGGAACTTTTTATTGCATTCTTAGCGGAGATGGTGGCGACGCAGCCATTGCTTCTCCTCCATCTCTAGTTACAGTGTTACCAGGTATGCATTTGTCTGTTCAATCGGTCGTTATGTTTTCCCAGCCTGATATGCATCTAAGTATGTGTCTGTATGTCTGGAATGTATATTTCGTTCGGTTTACACTTTTCTATTTTTAACGTTTAACAGATCCTCCCCAAATCTTCACAATTGAACCGAGTGACACAACCGTCGTAGAGGGCGAAACTACAATTTTTCAGTGCGCTGTGGAAAATAAAAAGGGGACAATATATTGGTCACAGGGCGCGGCCCTCATCAGCATTGACATGCTTATACAGGACAAGTTTGCTGACAGGTTAGTACAGTCCGTATTTTTTTCAACCTATCAGAGTGATGGAAAACCAATAATTTGCATAATTATAACATTGAAACAAAAACTATAAGCGCAGTTACATGGTGATCATGTTACAATGTATTTGCAATAATGAGAACATAATCACCCAAACATATGTTCCATGTATACAACAACAATTGTTTAAAGCGGGGAGTCGTCACCTATGCATGCGTCAGGTGGCCATAGCGTGTCATTGTTTACAAACAAACGTCTACCCATGAGCCTTTGCGTTCTTAGCGTGTGTTGTTATCATCCCATGAGACTCAATTTTCGCGCGTGCGTAGGTGACGACCCTCCCGCTTTAAATTAAACGAAACTTTGACAAAACAAATAAATCTTATTGATTTTCATTTTTCCTGCAGGTTTTCACTCATCGGTGACCATGCAAATGGGGAGTATTTTTTACAGATAAACAACACACAAATCAGCGATGATGCTGGGTATAGATGCTTCGTTAGCAACTCAGACGGTAGTGCCACCCTCATGTCTGACCTGGCACAGTTAATAGTAATACCAGGTAAGGTACCACAGAATTGTGTTTCAAAATTACAGCATACACCCTCTATCGAATTGTCTGCATTCCAATCGGGAGGCTTTTCTCACATTGGACTGTTGTTGAATTTGATTGGCTGTAATTGATTTATAGTGTTTGAATGCATATAATTCCAATTCTTTCAATACTAAGGTGATAGGCATACTTATATGACAAGATCAGTAATTCGGCAAAATTGCCATATCTCAAGTTATGGAACTTCTTGTGACTTGAGTCTAAGAAAAACGCCAAATACAAATTAAATCAAATGAATGAATAAATAAATAAATAAATAAATAAATTGTTTCCATGATGCTGTGAACGTAACTCACAACGTAGCGTTTTTAAAGATGCTGATCAACATCAGTTTGCAGTGGGTTGTTTTTTCACCCATCACAACCCATTTTTACCCATTGGAGCTTTTCTCTGCAAGGACATAATTCCAACAAACCTCTCTTGTCCTTCACAGAAATTCAATAGCTCCACACTCATCACCAGTACATTTAGTAGATATATTCGTCTAATAATAGGTGATTTTCCGAACAATTGCGAGATCTCGCGAGATGCATGAAAGACGCGCGTCGAACG